AGGAGTTCTCACCTACATCGTCCACATGGGACGACTCGGGAACTCAACTCCTACCCCGGGCAGCTCACCTATCCCCTTATGCCCAGGGGAAAGGTATCAAGCCGTTTTACAGCTGATGCTAGCTGTCAAAACGGCTTTTACGCTGAAACAGGCGGGAGGCAGCAAACAGCTGCTTCCAACGAGGTCGCCTGCCACCGGACGTCCTATCACTTACGCTTTTGATACCCATCATTTCTCTCTATTACATACATATAAAGTGAAATGGATACACTACATATTATTATTTACATATATTCTGTACATTTTTGTCAGGGAAGTGATACCCAGTTGTTTCTTGATTTCACTTTTACAATTCCTTTTTGTTGAGGAACTGGAAGTGGCATACATTGTTTACTGCTATGCAGTCATTATTATTCATGCAACAATCCTGTGAGTGCAGTTAGGGCAGTGTTTCTCAACCTTGACAATTTTAAGGCATGTGGACTTCAACTCCCGGAATTCCACTTAAAATTGTCAAGGTTGAGAAACACTGAGTTAGGGTAAAATACTCACCTAAGGAACTTCATGGCTAAGAGTGGATTTCTCTTCTCCTAGTTTAATATTCTTGACCACTTCACTATATCATCTTTCGAGTTTGCAGAGGATTTATTGTGTGATTAAGAGATTCAAGAGACTTTGGTTGCACTTGCAGTGACGCTACAATTGTCTCTTTGTCTTTTGGACAATCATATAGTAAATATTGAAGATGCTGCTACTGATACATTTCTTGCTCTGGTAAAATGGCTGATAGAAAAGTGTAGATCATTGCAAGTAGAGTCATTATTGTTATTGTTATAATTAGCTGAACGAAGGTAAATCGTAAATCAATTAAACATATATATATGTACAGTATATATATATATATGACAAAAGACTTCTCTTTCCCATATTTGGGCCGACAGGGTGCTCTAAAAGAAAAAAGCATTTATATATATATATGTATATATATATATATGTCTGTGTGTGTGTGTATGAAATATGCTTAGATAATATGTCTGCCTACAGCTATAAAAATTTGTATTCTCATTTTAAAATAATAGTATCCAATCCCATTTTGTGAGAATGGAAACAAAGTGTGATTTTTCATATTCTAGAAATAGGCTTTGGGGAGACAAAATATTGGATGGTCCCAAACCTGGACTAATCTAACACTTAAATTTGTATACAGCTTCATAGTGCTTTACAGCCCTCTCTAAGCAGTTTACAGAGCCAGCATATTGCCCCCCCAACAATCTAGGTCCTCATTTTACCAACCTCAGAAAGATGAAAAGCTGAGTCAACCTTGAGCCGGTCAGGATCAAACTCCTGGCAGTGGGCAGAGCTAGGCTGCAATATTGCATTCTAACCACTGCTCCAACATGGCTGTTAATATAAAATACTGTTCACATGCTCAAATATAATGAAATTGTGCACAATGTATGCAGATCAGAGTGCAGCTTTTCTTAAGGAGGAATTTGGATTGCTTTGCTTGACAAATTATTTTTTTTCTAAAACTCAACATACTGAATGAGCCTGGCAGAATGTTCCTGATAGCAGCAGTTTTGGAAAAGCGTCTCGGACAGATTTCTGTAGTTGACCATCTCTTTGTCCCTCCCCCAATTAGGTCCTGATTGAAGATGATGCCAGGCTGCTGCTCCCCGATCCTGAGGTCCCAGAAATTAACGTTCCTCAAGGCAGCGCCCAACTTGCCAAACTTGATGAGGATGAGCTGTGACTCTTGGGACTGCAGGATGGCCTCTGTCAGGCAGGCACTTCAGCTGGGGATATGTAATGCCTCTCCCACATCCCTCCTCCCTCTCTTTGGCCGCTCTGGAGGAAAGAGAAATGTGGCAACAGCGGGATGGAAGGTTTTGCTGTCCTCTGATCCTGCTCAAAATGCCCAGACTTCACCCCCTTCCTTAAATGGGTGCAGGACCCCATATTGGGAATGGAGCGTACTGCTGAAGGCCCTTCCCTAGACCCCAGTATATGCATGCTGTGGGGCTCTAGGGGCTTTACGTGGGGGCTCTTGGATGAGGGGTTTAGATTATGTGAAATGAGAATATTTTGTTTGTTGTAATAAAGATTTTAATTAAAACTAACAAGGAAGTGAATTGCATCACACAAAAACTGCACAGGCACCATGAAAAGCTAATTTCCACAGCTTTCTTCATGAGGAGCTTGCGGGCTGCATGTCAAATTCTGTTTTCTCCAGAACTAAACATAAAAGTAAAGCGTTAGGCAGGTAGACTTCAAGACAGTCTTGATTTCTCATTGTACTGAGAGAATAATTTCTTTCTTTCCCATTTTTAAATTATACTTTAAACTATCCACGCATCTATTTAGCTCACCCCTCGTCATTTAGATTACAGGGTCCATCATCCTAGTCGTTAGAGAAAACTATCATTGCATAGGAAGTAGGAAGGTGTGAATGTAACTGTTACATTCTAAAAATTTTGAGATCTTGGTTTGATTCTCAGCTATGAATCCATTTTTGTTGTCACTGGCACCTTATTGCATACCAGCACAAGGAGCTATCTACTGTATTAGTATGCAAGATTTGTCAATTAACATCAGTATAAAGCAGTGATGGCTACCCTTTTAGAGACTGAGTGCCCAAACTGCAACCCAAAACCCACTTATGCATCATCGAGTGCCGGGTGGGTGTAGCCCATTGGCTGGGTGTGGCCCATTGGGTGGGCGTGGCCCATTGGGTGGGCATGGCTGCAGTGATAACGGCAGACTGGGTGGGACTAAAAAGTTCAATCAGTCAATTTCAACTTTGCAAGAACTTTTTTTTTCCTGTGAGAAGTTGAAATTGATCGATTGAACGTGTTTTTTTTTTTGCACACGGCGGCGGAGGCCTAAAGGGAAAAGGTTTTATAAAACCCAGCTGAAGGCCTAGGACTGGGGCGACGATGCGCGTGCCCACAGAGAGGGCTCTGAGTGCCGCCTCTGGCACCCGTGCCATAGGTTCGCTACCACTGGTATAAAGGGATCAAGGAAAACTTCCTGTCTATAAATCCTGAATTAATAGGATTGAACTTAATACATGAGAGCAAAGGGTTGGGGAAAGGGATTTCTCCTGTCAATCCCCTTTTAACAACAGACTCAGAGATATAAATGAAAGAAGCTTGGTCCTTTTACATTTCAAAGGCCACATAGCCTATTTTGACAGTGGCAGCTCTGCTTACAAGTTGATCCTGATGGTGGTCAGAAGCGTGCTTTATGAAACAAAGAAAAAGGTTGTTTTCAATTAAACAGTTTTTGCATTTGTTTCCTCTAAAATTTGCAAGTGAAAAGAATATCAGCCATCCCATTCATCAGGTATTAAGTTCAAAAAATGCCTCCTGTTAAAAACAAACAAACATTTCTATGTAGCAAAACAGGGTATGAAAAACTACTGGAAGCACTCATAGAAAAAAAAATATAGCTCCACCAACATCTCAAGACAATAAATACTAACAATAATACAATTGTTAAAAAAATCAGAAAAGCAAAATACTAGACAAACTACAAGAGAATTGTACCCCCGAGTACTTGTTACCTGAGCAATGGCCAGCTGATACCCTCCATTGTTGTTCAAGAAAGAAATGATGTGGGTCTGCCAAACTTGCTTCAGGAGGTTTCACCTCCGAGGTACTGCTCTTTTACTGGCGTATAGCTTGGGTGGTACTGGAAACGGGCCTTCTTTTATGGGCTTGGGTCCAATCCCTGGGGGTGGGGGCCTAACGCTTAGTCCAACCTGCCACATCTGGGTTAGATATTACTGCTGCATCTCTTTTTGGGGGCCATGCTACAGCAAAAGGGTACCAATGCATATTGATAATTTACACACAAGGTATCGCAAAGACTAGAGCAACTCATAAATGTATGCAGTTGTGCATTCATCTTAGTTAAAACACCAGCTGACTCTTTTCTCAAAGATTCCACCGTAGGGTTAATTGTGTTAAAGACCCCATTGTGATGTAGCAGGGACAGCCCCATGGACACAAAGGTGATGGCTGGTTTCCGTGGCAATTAAGTGGAGGAACAGAGGTCTCTGGAGTGTTCAGTCACAAAGGAACTGACAGCAATAGTGCGTGTGCAAGGATTATCTCAAGTGGAGCTGGAGGCAGTGTGAAAGGACCTATCCTTCCATTGGAGAAAAGAATCCATCTTCTCAGCCTCATTCTCTTACAGTAGTCTGTTCTTCTCATGAAAAGAAGAGGTGAGTGTCTCAAGACCTTTGTAGAAGGAAGAATCGGCTACCAGTTCACTCTGCTTCCATATGGTTCTGAGCTGGGTGTGCATTTTTTAAGCTGGAATTAAGTTATTTACCAATAAAGGAGAATATTTGTAACTCAGGGTTGAAATGAAGGGTCCTTGATGCTCTCTGAACTTGGTTGTGCACTGATGATGTTACCTAGTTTGGGTAAGGAAACGTCTGCAAGAAAACAAGTTCAGACAGCACCAAGGACCCCTCATTTTAAGGTGTGTGTAGTCCAAGGTTACATATAGATTAGCATTTTTTTCTTCCTCTTTTAAGCACACTTTTGCTGCAGAGGTTTCCATGAAGACAAGCCACCAAGCCACACCAGCTTTTCCCACCATTCAAAGAGGGACATCTTTGTATGTGTGGATGTGAATACATGCACAGAGGAATCCCAACACAAAAGAGCTGTAAATTCCACAGTATGAAATATGACAAAAGGTTGGATGGGGATGCGCCTTGAGGACGCTTCATTTTTATTTCTGCGTTTTCATTGAAAGATAGGCTTAGCCTCAAACTTTCATCACTTCATATCAGAGAAGTAGCAAATGAGATGGTAAAAATGTTCCTAGATATTTTTTGTTTCCAATTGCAGGCAGTGAAATCAAAGGATTGAGTGCTTCTACCGGAGGGCAGGGGAGGAGGGGAGACACTGCATAGATGAAAGTAGCATATCAAGGAGAAGGCCCTGCCTGAATTTTCGGTCGTCATCATGAGAATGTATATATTCATGTTCACAAGCATATGAGTTTCAACACTCACAGCGTCACACTGGCTGATGGAGTCCTTTTCATTGCATACTGGTTTGCTTAATTAAATCACAGCAAAATGGGGAAGGCTGGTTTAGTATCGATGAATATTAAGCTTAGCTCTAAATTCTTATGTTGTTTTATGAAATAACCCAAGAAAAAGGCAAAAGAGCCTGTACATCCAGGGAGGGCGTCAACCTCTAATTTGTTAATGTTCTTACACTTTTAGTGCAAAACAGATGTTTAAAAGAATTCAAACTATGTTGTTTGATGAACTGCAAAAATAATTCAACATCAAAGATATAGGACAGAGCAGTATTTCTCAACACAGGCAACTGTAGATTTAAAATCCCAGAATTCTCTAGACCAGAGGAATTCTGGGAATTGAAGTCTACACATCTTAACATTGCCAAGATTGAGAAGCACTAGAATAGAGAATAGGAAAGAAACCGATTTAGACACTAGGCTTTCTTTCAGTGCTATGGAGGCCAGGGGGCAAGGTGGTGACGGAGGCAATAACAACACTTTATTACCACTAGACTTGCAATTGGTCAAGTATACTTATGCTTCCCCACACCAGTTTTGACTGTGGATGTGCTCTCATGGAGTCTTTGGACTTGCCCATATTTTCTTATATATTCCTGGAAATGAATGGAAACTGCCTCCTAGCAGACCTTGTCTAGAATCAGAAGTGAAGTGGGATTGTCTTCTGTGAATATTAGGATGGGAGATCACTTGGAACCTCACGAATGTGAGATGGGAACATAAAAAATCCCAGAAGGCAGTTAAGACCGCCTCCTACCAAATGTCTCCCTTCGACCAGTCCGCTCCCACAGAGAGGGCCTCCTTAGGGTGCCATCGGCCAGTCAATGCCGGCTGGCGACCCCCAGGGGGAGAGCCTTCTCTGTGGCAGCTCCTGCCTTCTGGAATGACCTACCCCCCGACCTACGTACAACTACGGACCTGCGCCTCTTCTGCCAAGCCTTGAAAACCCATCTATTCCATGCGGCCGGCCTGGCGTAGTTTTGACTGGGCTTTGTTAGGCGTTTTATATGGGGTATTTTAGAGCAGGTTTTTTATTCAATATTTATTGTGATTTTTATTATTGCCTGTTCACCGCCCTGAGTCTCATAAGGGAGATAGGGCGGTATATAAATTTAAATAATAAATAAATAAATAAATAAATAAATAAATAAATAAATAAATAAGGTGAACCACTTGCAAACTGACGTATTGATGTGTTTGTGAAGCCCCCAGAAATCACACTCAACTCAAAGGGGACTTTGTCTGAGAATTTATTTAAAAGTGTACTAGACAACCCATGCCGCATTGGCTTATTGTTTCAGAGATATTTCCTTTCCTAACAGAGAAACTGAATGACTATTGGCAGGCAAAAGAGCAGTGGGAGCAAAAGCAACTTCTGATTTCCTGCCAGCTTCCCCACTGACTTTTCTTGTAGAAAGCTGGACGGAGCATTGGAAACGATCACATGACCATGGCTGACTGCAGCTAACTTTGGCAGTGAGGCAGCACTGAAGCAGCCACTAATTTACCACATTTCATTCAGACAGGAGTCATGGATCCCAGATTTTGGATGCATTCTCTCATTTGAGATACAGTACATTGATTCCAAAATGGTTGCCCTATGATGAAGGTTGAAGGTTACAAACAATCAAACAGATACAAGAGTTTTAGTAGTATATAGATTCATCTGTGTGGGCCAACTCTGTTTTGTGCTTGCTACAAATTCTCAAGGTAACCCAAGGCATTAATTACCTATTAACTTCCTTTCAGTGCATGCATTTGATTGTTTCTGTGGACACTTCCCTGATCACCATTAGGCACCTTATCCAACATGATACTAAATATTTTCAAGATGTTTTAAAATAAAAAAGCTAGTTGGAAATTGGCCTGCTGCAGAACAAAGCACTAGTTTCTTTATTTCCAAAGATTGCCTTCAGGTCTAATAATCACATTTAGAAAATAAATATACTTTGCATTTCAACCCAGTTTTCTGTTAGAAATGTACTCTTGAGCCTAGATAAAGGAACATCGCTCCTCCCAAAAGTAATCTAGGGTTATAAGGAAGATAGGGTGAGGGAAGGGAGGTTTGAAGTAGTTGTGGGGAGTAGTGGGGAGTAACTCATCAATTTGCCTTCTGGAAATAGAGGTTTTGTGACCTGGCAGCCATTTAGTCCTAGAGAGCCTAGGATTTACTATCTGGCCCCCTGACACAAAAGAATTATCCACCTGCTCCTGTTTTTATACCAGTGGAATGGAGGATGTTCGGGAATCACTATTTAATGGACCTAACCAATCATTCACTCTTGCTAGGGAATGTTTGCAGGACTTCAGATTTACTGACTGAGATTTCATAGCATCCCACTGATCTATAGTTGCCAGGCTCTTGGGAAAAATATGATTGGTTATGTTGGGTGTAAAATGAATTCAGTTGCACCTTAGCAAGGACTGCAAATCAGTAGGTGGTAGAAACGTATGTACAACAAGCCATCTCGTTGCTGCTATCTGATGACTGTCCAGGTTTTTGCAGCCCAGACACCGTAAGCCTGCTGTAGCCTTCTCCTTGCTTCCTTGACCTCATCTCTACTCTTTTAGGCATCTTTATTTAACATCACTTTCGCTTAATGCCCACTGCTGCTGCTGTCACAACAGCCACATTCCGCACCCGCTTTCCCTGGTGGGTCTTGACATGCTTTGCTAGGTGGTCACTCCGCATAAATCTCTTGGGGCACAGCTGGCAGCCAAAGCGCTTCTCCCCTGTGTGTGTCCGAAGGTGCCTTTGCAGCTCATCTGAGCGAGTGAAGCTCTTCCCACAGTACAGCCAGGAGCAAATGAAGGGGCGCTCGCCTGCATGCCAGCGGAGGTGGGCCTTCAAGTGAGAGGTTTTGCCATAAACCTTGCCACACCCTGGCAGATGGCAGACATGCTGCTTCTTCCTCCCTGGCTCCTCATGGGACTTGCTGGCTCCCTGGCAATTGGGGCATTTGCAGCGACGACAGCGGCGAGCTGTACTCAACAGCCCTTTGGGAGGGCTCTGCAGGAAGGGTGCGAGGGGAGGCTGGGGACTGAGGACTAATGAATGTCCAAGAGAGAAATTGCTTGGCTGCTGCAGGGTCCACCACGGGGCATCCTCAGTGCAGGAGGGGCCTGGAGGGACAGCTGTACCCAAAGGCCACGGGCTTTGCAGAAAACTGGAGGAGTCCTGGGCTTCCGGGAAAGCATATGAGGGATGCACTGTGGGTGCCAACATCTTGACAGGTGACCACTCCAGTGAGTAGATGGCCTCAGCTGGTGGTGTCAGCGGCAGTTCGTGGGGTGAGGCACCACTATTGCTAGCCACCATTTGCTCGTGATATGGCATTTTGGGTCGTCCAAACGCCATGGTTGTGTGAGAGCGTGCTGGCATCTCATTGCTCCAGAGTTGAAACATTCCCATAGATTCATAGGACCCTGGTGAGCTGGCTGAAGAACAGGGCAGAGGAGGTGCTGCTCGGAAGGCCAAGGTGGGGTAGTTGACAGTGATGTCCTCTGGAGATGAGTTAGGAGACCGGTCCTGAACAGAGTAAACAAAAAACAAAAAACTGAGCAAGAGTGTAGATGTTAATCCTCCTAAATACTTAGCCAACCTCTACTCGAACTCTGCCCAAGCAAATCATCTTCTGTAGCACACTTGCTAAATCTTGCACTTTGCATACATCCACACTTTGCCTGCCACACTAAGGTTACCAAAGATATGGCCATTTTATCCTCCTCCCCTGTTATGCATAGATCTTTAATTTGGCTCCATGAGTGATGTTTCATCTAAGTCAGTGGTTCTCAACCTGTAGGTCGGGACCCCATTTGGGGTCGATCGACCATTTCATGGGGGTCGCCAAGCAAGGCTGTCCACCATTTTTTTTGTACGCCATTTTTTTTGTACACCATTTTTCCCCCCTTTTCCGGCGGGTGCCTTACCTCCCTTGGGCTGGGCCAGCTGGTGGTCGGCCTGCTCCGTCTCTGCCGCTTGCCAGCTACGCCTCAGCTGGCGCAGGGGGCGGAACCACACATGTGCGGCGCTCCCGGGCAGGGAAAGTCCTCGACTTACGACCGGTTTAGTCCTCGACTTACGACCGGTTTAGTCCTCGACTTACGACCGGTTGGGGTCGCGGCATTAAAAAGGTTGAGAACCACTGATCTAAGTCTTAAACTGCCATTATCTGCAATGGAAATTGTACCAAACATCTGTCATAATCTGTTAAGTACAGAACCAGTTTTCTCAAAAGAAGAATTGCTTGGACAATGCAGTATGTAGGTCAGCACATAGAGCAGGTTACTTTTTCTCACTTTTTAGAGGAAGAACAGGAGTTTCCTGAGTTGAAGACCAGGTTTGGTTTACACAATACACTGAGCCCTAATGTGGTATCCGATACTTTCTACATCCAATTTCTGTTTTCTGATCAAAGGGACTCGATCTCTCTGGATGTTGCCAAATTTTGTTAGGCTCTTACTGAGATAAGTTTCAAACTAACTGATCCCCATCGCTCAGCATAATGTAACTGTGGCTAACCGTTGAAAATAAAAGGATTTTTTGAACAACACTCAATAAGTGTAGATAGATGTCATCCCTTCCCATCCCACCCCTTTCCATTCTATTCTATTCCATTTGTCTTAGAATTTTAGCTCTGTGTAGAATCTCAGTTTTAAACAAGCAACATTCTCTTTCTTACTTGCAGAGTTGTAACTTATTCTGATATTAATAGTGATAACAATATTCTATAGATTTATTTGGAAGCAGAAAAGAGGAGCCTGACCCTGACCTCAGGGGGAACACTCTTGAATCCTCCAATTCGGAAAGTGATTATAAGTGACAAAGGTACAGGCACAAGAAAAGTGCAGGAGAAGAAGCAAAGGTAGAATTTCTCTTGAATAAGGTTCTATTGATGAGCAAAGCCAAGTCAACCTTAGCACTGATTCATTTTGTGTCCCAGTTGTGCCCATTCCTGGAACAGGAGGCTTTTCGTACAGTCACCCACAATGTGTGACTATTGCAATGTGATCTGTGTGGAGCTAACCTTGAAAATCATTTAGATCCACAGGCATTTGTGGGCATAACACAGTGCACCCAATGTATCACCTCTGTTTTGAGAGTTGCCAATGGGCTTTTTAGATACAATTCAATGTCCCTGACCTACGAGACACTCCCTATCATAGGTCTATTTATGAGACAGATCTTCTGTCTCCAGTAGTGTCTGCTTGTCCTATATTGTACAATCAAATTGGGCATACTTTCAGACTCTTTGCTTAAACAGTATCATCTGATGAAATGGACCGTCTCTCTCATGGTGCCTGCCCTCTGGAACAGCATTGCCCCAGAGATTTGAATGGCCTCTACCTTTGAAAACCTGACTCTTTCCCTAGGATTTGGGTTAGTGTGGTGGGCTCTTTTGAGAAATCCTATGGGAAGATTAGGGATATGTTTTTAATTGCTCTCTCTTACATGTTGGCCACTTTTTTTGTTGGTTGTGTTTTTTTTTAACTGTTATTAATATTATGTGTCACCCAGAGTCATTATGGACTCTGGCATTTTTAGAATTTTGACAAATAAATCATCATCACCTTCTTCATCGTCATCTGTCATGGTTCCGAAAAAAGAAGCTCTTCAAAGAACTTTGAGGCATTGTTTACCTTAAAGAATCTTTAATTTGCAACATAGCTTCGCACGTACATAGAGAAGCCAAAATCTGAATTCTCCTCCCCCAACCACACAGTATCTAAGCATAACTCACTCCTTCATTTCACAGTCATTAATCACATTCTCCAATTAGTTTGAAGTGTGAACTTTCCCTCCCGTTATCTCCTCTTATTACAAGTAACCTTGAAGAATACTCTACTGAGATATTGTTATGGCTAACTAGTCTCCAAGCACATTCTTCCCCCTCCCCTCCAGCACCATCTAATTTTTACTCTAAAAGTAATACACAGGTTAAATAGAAAATGTTTGCATCTTTATATATTGTCAAGCATGAACATCCGATGTTAGCAGCCTTGACATAATCATTTTAGCCATTGTCTATCCACTGCAGGATGAAGGCCTCTTCCACATGTTTCCAACCAATACGATCCTTTTGTCAATTGGGCCCACAATACTTGGTGATGTCATTGATCTCTTTGACTGAGTATTCCAGCAAGCAATAATGAAGGCAGTGCACAACCGAGGTGTAGACACTGCACCTTACCTAAACTTACTACAATCAATATATGAAAAAACAATAGCAACAATTAAAGTGGAAATCATCAGAGAACGAGGTGTACAACAAGGTGATACAATATCACCTACCCTTTTCTCAGCCTGCCTTGAAGAAGTATTTCGTAAACTAGACTGGGCAAAAGATGGAAATAAAATCAATAGCACCTATTTAAATCACTTAAGATTTGCAGATGATGATGTTCTCTTCTCACAAGACCCAGAAGAGCTACAAAGACACATACAAGAGCTGCACAAAGCAGGAGAACCATTTGGCTTAAAAATAAACCTGAAAAAGAGCCAGGTTATGTTTAATAAATTCACCAAAGAAAGAAAAAATTGGCTTAAAAAATAAACCTGAAAAAGTGCCAGGTTATGTTTAATAAATTCACCAAAGAAAGAACAAATTTTATATCTGGAGAAGAATTAGACATAATAGACCACTACATATACCTTGGCCAACGGATCTCAATGGAAGGTGATATAATAAAGGAAATTGAACGTGTTAAATGTGGTTGGCAGGCATTTGCCAGGCTCAGCATAATTTTCAAGAATTAACTCCCCTTAATGCCTGAAGAGAAATATTTTGATCAGTGTGTGCTACCTGCTCTAACATATGCCAGTGAAACATGGACCTCACAATCGAAACAAAAGCTAAGAGCCATGGAAAGATAATGCTCGACATTATAAGACAAGACAGAAAGACCTGCACACGAACTAGAGAACAAACAAAAGTATACGGTAATATCAAGAGAGTAAAAGAACTGAAATGGAAATGGGCTGGTCCCAGAGCAAGAAGAACTGATGGCAGGTGGACCAAGGCAGTCACAAAATGGATCCCACTTGATAAAAAGCGTCCACGAAAGAGACCTAAAACAAGATGGATCAACAACATCAGCAAGTATTGTGGACAAATATTGATACTTAAAATAAATAGCTGCTGTAATTATAACTTAAGCAATACCATTATACAAACATTGTTGGGAATATAATCTACGGATGTTCAAATCTTTGTATCTTTTTCCCCCCAAGACAAATGTAATAAGGAGGGCTGGGTGAAGCAGGGACAATTTATGAAGCTGCTTTGGTTCCAATCACTGGAAAGAAATCCACTTCAGAAAAGGACTTTTATCCCTTCAGTTAAAAGATCTGCAAGTCAAAAGATCTGCAAGTCATTTTTCATTGCCTGAGGTTATGCTTGGGGAAAAGATCCAAAGGCAAAGCAGCTGATTTGATGTGGTAAAAAGGCTTGAATCTGATGCTCCTCCTCAGAGGTGTAGAAGGCACATTTTATCGTACTGCAAGGACTTGTTAAGGCTTCAAGGCCTAGTATTGATAGGTACTGATAGTTTCTCTTTGGCATAGTTTTTGCTGTTTTTGCTTTGATCTTTTCATGCTGAAATATATTTAAGAAAGAAGAAAAGCAGAGGAGGCAGAATCCTAGAAGCATTACAATTAAGCAGGAAGTTTCCACTTGTAAATCCTGACTGAATGTTTACAGATAGTCCTCGAGTTACGGCCGTAGTGGAGCTCGCCCATTATGGTTGTAAGTTGTAACAGTCATAAAACGGAAATGGACACATGATTGTGTCTTTTGCAGCAATTGTTAAGTGAACACTGCGGTCATAAAATGAACTCATTGTTCACTGTAGTGCAGTTTTACTAGCAGTGCTGATTTTTGGCAACTATTGTAAAATGTGATTGGCATGCTACAAATGGCTGTAAATGCGGCTGTGTTGCTGAGCACCCAGAGTGAGGTCACTTCACCCACAGGAGGAAGTGACTGTCAAAACTTTGGATCTGGGTGATAAGTTCCCTTTCCCAGGTAGGTCGCAATTTCAAATGGCCACTAAGCAACTGGTTGTAAGTCAAGGACTATTTACATTGGAAAAAGAAGGATACCCAGAAGGGAATGTTAACTGCAGCTATTTTAGAATTTAAAAAAAAGAGAACGCCTGTTCGTCATTTCATGAGATGATATAAAATACACAGCTGCATCGCTTAAGGTTTAAAAACAAAGTCGATCCTAGGATCAATCTGTATTATACCTTCAAGAATGTTTGGAAAAATGCTCAGTGGTGAAACTTCAGAGTTAATCAGCATCAAGTAGGAACAACAGGATGCGGGATTCTAGCTCCCGCCAGTATCAATCTCATCCAGAATCTACTGGCTTCTAGTTCCATTCCTGTTATATTTGGAATTATGAAAAGAGTGAAACATTTTAAAGCGATTGGAACTTTTGAGCAATTACAAAGATTTTGTGTGTGCGCAGGATTGGTTACTATGTTTTTCATTTTGTCATCCCCCAAAATCAAGAT